ATCTTTGGACAGGTAAACCAGGTCAGAACCGCCAATCACACCTGCGAGGGGGTCGGGCCCGAGAGCAGAGCCTTCCCAGTTGATCTTAAACTCCACGGTGGTTCATAAGGGAGATACGTTCGGACAGATAAGTTGGGCCAGAACCATTTAGGGCTTATGGATATCTGGAGAGACATATGTCACAGGTCTCAGACCTGCTTCAAAATGTTCAACCAGAGAAGGTCACCCTGGTGTGAAGGTATTTGGTCAAAGGCATCCTTAGGCTTCATCATTCTCTGTCAGTACATTTCCAAAATGTAGACTCTGTGGCATCAGGTCCCAAATGTTCAGATTCCGCATGAAGGCAGGAAATGCTGGCTTGGATCCAAGCACTGTTTGCATTGAGAGAAGACCCGTTGAACCAACTGGGCTTATATAAGCATTGACTTACCATTTAGCTGTTGATTCAGCAGGTCCTCCCATGTTGGGACTAGTGATTGGATTTAGGCCAAAAATAGGGCTTTTTTGCAAGGTGGGATGATCTCAAGGCATGCGTTGGCACCGAATCCTAGAACATCCAGTTCATTGGTGGCACAAACATGGATTCAGAGGAGTTTGGGGTCATCCTGGAAAGAAACAGAGAGGCGGCACCCAGAAGATTATATAATGAGTTAGGAACAGCTAGTTCCCCCGCCAGTACTGATTCTGAAAAGGGAGGGGAACGGTGCATCGGCAAAGGGATGATGACGTTATCGGTAATGGAGATGAAGGATGCTTGTTTTCATTTGGACGTAATCCTGCCCCTTTGTGGAAGCCAAGCGGATTATTTCACACCAGTAAGCAGAAAAAATGGATGGGATCTCAATAAGGCCAGAGGAAAAACACTAGGGAGAGAACCCTTATGTGTGGGGGAGAGAGAGCGAAAGAAAGACAGACAGAAAGACAGACAGAAGCAACCTGCTAGGAGGATGAGAAAAGCATTGAAAATTACTGTAGCTCAAGACCCCAGTACTGGGGATTTGGAGAAATTCTGGGCAATTTTCATATTCCATATTATTTTGTTAAATGTGCCCCACATTTTTGCACAATGGTTTTCAGAACTGCCCTTTACATTAAGTATCTGTTTCCCACTCTTGAAAATTCCCTCTTCCCTCTGCTACACAAATACTTTAAGGCACAGGAGCCTTCTCTAGCTCTCACTCTTGCAAACCTATACTCTTCTCACAGGCTTAAGTACCCCCATTGTACTTAGAGAGAGATGATTGAAAACAGAGAAGCTAGGAGTGAAAGGAGTAAAATTCCTCGATCCTCCCCTCAATCTCAGCTGGCCCCTCTCAAGCTAATTTTTTTGGGACTGCTCTGCTACCCCTGTCGAAACCATCAAGCTGAGCATCTGCATTTGGTGTGCATGGTTTAATGAAACACATCCTACATTTATCACATCAATCCCCCACCTCCAGCTTCTCTTGTAAGTTGGGTTTTGACACTATAGTAGGTGCCCCAGTTTTTCTGTACTATTTATCGTATCAGAGGCAAACCGAGGGTACAGTTGTAATGTATTTAAAAACACAACGTTTACGAAATGTCCTTTGACCAGTAGCTGGCCACTTAAGAGTGCCTCTGGTGTTGCTATAAGAAGGTCCTCCATTGTGCATGTGGCAGGGCTCAGGTTGCATTGCAGTAGGTGGTCTGTGGTTTGCTCTTCTCCACACTCGCATATTATGGACTCCACTTTGTGGCCCCATTTCTTAAGGTTGGCTCTGCATCTTATGGTGTCAGAGTACAGTCTGTTAGGCACCTTCCAGGTCACCCAGTCTTTTGTGTGCCCAGGGGGGAGTCTCTCATTCAGTATCAGCCATAGTTTTCACCTGCCACTTTTGGACTCTCGTTTTCTGAGGTGTTCCTGCAAGTATCCCTGTAGATCTTAGAAAGCTATTTCTTAATTTAAGGCGTAGGTATGCTGGCTGATATTCGAACAGGAGATGGGCCGGAGATGTCACTGCCTTGGTCCTTTCTTTATTTGTTGCTACTTCCCGGTGGATGTCCAGTGGTGCAATACTGGCTAAACTGTATAATTTCTCCAGTGGTGTAGGGTGTAGACATCCTGTGGTAATGCGACATGTCTCATTAAGAGCCACATCCACTGTTTTAACATGATGGAATATATTCCACAGTGGGCATGTGTACTCAGCAGCAGAGTACACATTCCCCAGGTTGTGCCAGTCAGCTTTCGTATGATAGTGTTTCTAGCACCCACTTTTTGTTTGTTTGTTTTTCTGTGATTAGTGGTGAAGGACCCACATGAAAGTGGAAAAGCCTTGAATTTTTTAAAAGGCGATTTTTTTAAAACCTGGGAAATTATGTCTAGGTCCTTTAGCTCAATTCTGTCGTTAGTTTCCACTAGAAGCTGACTGTGAAATTGCAATGAAGGAACTACAAATCCCTAAACAGAGTGTTCTACTTAAGAATCTCCAAGGGCTCTTCCACACAGCCATATAACCCAGAATGTCAAGGCAGATAATCCACAATATCTGCTTTCAATTGGATTATCTGAGTCCACACTGCCAGATATTCCAGTTCAATGTGGATTTTATATAGCTGTGCGGAAGGGGCCTGAGTCCTCCACCACATTTCAGCATCCCCTGGAGGTTAATTATAGAGCTGTGCTGAAGGACCATAGATTACTTCAGGGAACATGTTAATCAAATCTGTGAATAATTTGATCCATAGAAGTTAAATCCGCAAAAGTTAAAATGTTTTATCAGTTTGATTTCTGTGCAAGGATGAATCATTCTTAGGAGAAATGCAAATCCAAGGCTAGCCCTACCCTAAGGCAGTGTGGGATAGCTTTTTCAGAAAGTTGCTTTGGGGCCTCACAAGAAGAAAGCAATAATTATAACATTTATTAGTGGTAGAAACAGTGATGTTATTTCAATAGCTGCCACTTCTACTAATGCTTCCAGGAGCAGGGAGAAACAGCGGTTGGATTTCTGCCAAAAGTGGCAGAATAAATTCACCATCTTTGGGTAATTTGCAGTTTGGCTTAGAGGGACAGAGGTCACCTTTGCTATTCTCTTGGGCCAAAGATTGGGCTGCCAAAATGAAAATTGGAGAGGGTTCCTGTGCCTTTAATGCAGAGCAAAAGAGATTTCAGCTGGTTACCTGGTTGTATGATGTCATGGTTTGAGTGTGGGACCACGCAAGACTCAGGAGACCAGTGTTTGAATGCCTTTTCAGTCATGGAAACCCAGTGGGTGATCTTGGACAATTCGCATTCTCTCAGCTTTAGAGGAAAACAAAGGTAACTCCACTTGGAACAAATCTAGCCAAGAAAACCCCAGTTAATAGGTTTGCTTTAGGATCACCATAAGTCAGAAACAACTTGAAAGCACACAACAGCAACAAACAGGAGGGGATCTTTAGATAAAGCACCCGAGCAACAAGGGATTGCGTTCTCTGTTTGCCACTGAGCTTGTGTATTCATTTGCAGCAGACCTCTTTCTGAAAGAAGCATTTGGACTGGAAAGTGGAGAGACAGGCAGGGAAGCCAGAAAAATGACTTTGACAGACTGGCTTTGGTATGACCCGTTTCCCAGGAGATATCAGCAGTTTGGGCCTCCTGGGGATGCAAATAAAAGGAGTCTGTGATGAGAAACAAGGGAGTGAAGGAAACAAGAGTAGTTTCTCTCCCCTCATCTCCTCCTGTTTCCTGCCTTCCACTACCAGGATTCATTGTCTGAGGAAGAGATGACTGGTAGAATGGTTACTGTACTGCATGAATTGGATTGGCTTTGCCCTTGATTGTTGCAGATCTTGGCAAAGTTTTTTTTAATTTCAGACTACAATTCCAAGAATCCCCCAGTCAGCCTGGCCAGTACAAACACAGTTTTGTTTGTTTGCCTGTTTGTTTTGGCTAGGAGAAAGCATGCTGTCTCTCATAGAAGACTTAATCAACCCTGCTGTGGTTGACAGTGTTTTCAATAAAATGTGTTTTGGCTTGTTAATTTGCAGAGAGTGGGGAGAGGGTTACTCACATTTGGATTAGATGGTTGGATTAGAATTTGTGAGAACAGCTTCTCATCTCTATTGTATCATGGAACTCACTCGATTTTTTTTTTCATGTCAGGAGCGACTTGAGAAACTTCAAGTCGCTTCTGGTATGAGAGAATTGGCCGTCTGCAAGGACGTTGCTCAAGGGATGCCTAGATGTTTGATATTTTACCATCCTTGTGGGAGGCTTCTCTCATGTCCCTGCATGAGGAGCTGGAGCTGACAGAGGGAGCTCAACCTGCTCTCCCTGGATTCAAACTGTTGTCCTGTCAGTCTGCAGTTCTTCCAGCACAAGAGTTTGTTTTCCACAAACGCCACTTTCACCTTTTCACCCATGCCCTGGCATTACTTCCAATTTTTACTTTACATTTGGCCTACCCACAGTTTTAATTGTGTGTTGTCTTATTGTTAATTGTTGCATTTTTATTGTCTTATGTTTTTATTTTAATTGCTTGTATTGTTGCTATTATTGCTTGTATTGTTGTATTTGGGCTCAGCCTCGTGTAAGCCGCTCCGACTCCCTTGGGGAGATGGTAGCGGGATACAAATAGAGTGTTGTTTTTGTTGTTGTTGTTGTTGTTGTTGTTGTTGTTATTATTATTATTATTATTATTATTATTATTCCATTGCATTGCATTGCCAGGGGCTCCTTAACTCACTAGATGTCCTTTGGCTATTCATCCTCATCCTCTCTCTCCATCTACCTCCTTCTCTCTCTTCCAGTCTGACCTACCTCACAGGATTGTTGTGCGGATAAGACATAATGAAAGACAGGGTTTAAGTGTATCTATTAAATACAACTTCTTGATTTGCTTGGTTTGTGATGCCATGTCTGCAGTAGCCTTCGGCTCCTCATCATTTCACTTTTGGCTGGTTTGTGTTCATGGCATCTTTTGGCCAGGTTGTTTGATTCTTCAGCATTCCAGATTCCCCATCCACAGTTTTTCTTATGCTGCTTTGTTTCCTTCTAGGTCTTTGTGAAGGCCCACTTCGACTATGACCCTGCCACTGACAACCTCATCCCGTGTAAGGAGGCTGGGCTCAAGTTTGTGGCCGGAGACCTCCTTCAGATTGTCAACCAGGATGATCCCAACTGGTGGCAGGTATGTATCAAGTAATGAAGTCCTAAACAGGATCACACCTCAGTAGAAAGCTTAGGCAATTTAGATGAAATTTTGGGCGAGCCACTTGCAGTCATTTTTTTAAAAAAATACAGTACACACAATTGGAAGTCAGAGCAAAACAATGGTTAATAATTGGAGAAATACATCTTCTTTTTAGAAGAGGTGTCATCAAAATAAAAATGGACATCTTAGCATACTGAATTAGTAAAATAATGGTTGAGAGTTTTTGTTGTTATTATTACCCAGATTAGATGATGTAGATTGAGTTTTCTTTATCCAGAAATGATAAACCTCAAACTTTTTGCTGCTAAATCTGCTTCTGCCTTTGGGGAAAGAGGGCTAGTCACATATCCAGTGCCCATTAAGTTTTTCCTCAAAGAACCCTGATGGAGGAAAGAGAAGAGGGTGAAGGAAGGAGGACTTTGTTTATATAGCGCCCCTGTAAAAAGCAGATTTTTGGTTGCTTTCATGTTCACCTTCCACCCGACCAATGGTGGGGCAGGACAGGCATCCTGGAGATGGGTCATGAATGAGAGACTGGAGCGACTCTGTTAGCCACCTTTGTCCAGCCCAAAGAGAATGAAAAGAAGTTTGCAGGGGTGGAAATTTTTCATCTCCTTTCCTTGCTATTTTGCTAAAAGAGCGGAAAGTGTGCTCACAACCAGGGAAGCAACTGGGAAGTATGCTTTTTACAGTAGTCTTCTGTAAGTGGAGTTCTCTCCCCTCCCTTCCCTGTTTTCACTTTCTCCCTGCACCTGCTTGAAAAACTAAGCAGGTACAGGACATGTGACTAACCCCTTTTCCCTAGAAGTCTTTGATGGAGCAATGGGTTAAGCTTTTGTGCTGGTAGGACTGCTGACCAACAGGTTGGTGGTTCAAATGCGGGAAGTGGGGTGAGCTCCCATCTCAGCTCTAGCTCTCCATATGGGGACATGAGAAAAGCCTCCCATGGGATGGTAAAACATCAAACATCCAGGTGTCCCCTGGGCAACATTCTTGCAGACAGCCAATTCTTTCACCCCAGAAGTGATTTGCAGTTTCTCAAGTCGCTCCTGACACAAAAAAGGTCAAAAGCCTACAAAAATTCTTAACCTGCCTATGGAAAAAGAACTGTTCTAGAAAGTCATTTCCAGAACTGGGGAGCAGTCACCAACAAGACCTTTCTCCCTGTTCCAGCCATATGTACCTGTGAAGGTACTGGGGCAAAGAGAAGATCTCCAAATGTAGGCAAACTCACATGGTAGAATATGGTCCTTCACATTTCTATGAAGAGCGTTATAGGCTGTGACTAGCATTTTGAATTGTGACCAAAAATGAACTGCCAGCCAGGGAAGCTGTTTCCACAGGAAAGTTATGTATACTTCATGCTGAACTGCCTGACTGAAGTTCCTTGGACTGTATAGAGAAAATGCTATCTTCATGACCCTAGCCTGCCTTGAGCTCAGATTTTGTCTTTGTAGGCCTGCCATGTTGAGGGAGGTAGTGCCGGACTGATCCCAAGTCAGTTGCTGGAAGAGAAACGCAAGGCATTTGTGAGGCGTGATATTGAAGTTATGCCATCATCAGGTAAAGTATGTTGCGCAGCAAGTGGATCTTAGCCACGTCCCATGCACAAGAGTAAAAATGAACAGAAAAATCTTTACTCTTAATAGCAGAGATGAAACACAACATACATCTAGTTCTCTTAAAATAAAATACAAATATACAGGTAGCCATAGATATATGCATCCTCATCTCCCCTACACTGCACCCCAATGTACTCCGATCTCCTACGAAAACATAAAAAACATGTGCATATTTGAATGCTACATTGTGTCAAAATTTCAAAGCAATCGGTGAAGTATTTTGGGAGATGTAAGGTTTTGTACAAACAGACATTTACATTATTTATATATATACACACTTCAATTGATCAAATAGTCACCTTCTTCTGGGAATAAGTGACAGCTGAATTCTTCTTACTATTCCTTTCCTCAAGTAGTCCCTTACATGTGGGATAGCTTCCTCCTTCTTTCCTAATTTGATACCATTTGTCTTTTCTTCACTTGGTAGGTGCCTTGTGCGGAAGCCTCAGTGGGAAAAAGAAGAAAAAGATGATGTACTTGACCACCAAAAATGCAGGCAAGAGGTCTCCTTAGGGAGTTTTGTTTCTCTAGGCAATGGCAGAAGAAAATACAACTGACAGAAGAGGCTAGGGAAAGTTTATTGTGTTCCTTCAAGTCATTTCAGATTATAATAGGCTCTTCCTCTTGTAGGGGTTAAGGGTGCCAAACCTCCAGAAAAGTAGGAAAAAATGAGTACTGAAAATGCTATTTTTTTCTACATCTGAGATAACACATCTCTAGGTTTTTCTGCTGTAGCTTGACCATAGAAGTGGGTTCTGCCAAGGTTAGAGTTAATAGTATTCATGATTTGGACTAAGATGCCTATGATTCCTCCATATTCATGTAGCGATGAATTATTTCCCCTTCACTGCAGAGTTTGACCGCCACGAGCTCCTCATTTATGAAGAGGTGGCCCGCATGCCTCCATTTCGGAGGAAAACTTTGGTGCTTATTGGTGCCCAAGGGGTGGGCCGACGCAGTCTCAAGAACAAGCTTATCATGTCTGATCAGTCTCAATATGGAACCACCATCCCATGTAAGTATACAAGGGAATAGCATACGCATGTGTGTGCGCTTTTTAATTATTTGGTGTGGGAGTCCAACAGGGTGGGACCATATTTATGTCCATTTACAATAACTTATTATTTTCTAACCAAAAACTTTCCCAGGAAACTCTAGCAGCCAATAGTGCAGAAGCTAGCATTGCTACACTTTTAGTAGCATTGTTTGAGCCCCCGGTGGTGCAATGGGTTAAACCCTTGTGCCGGCAGGACTGCTGACTGAAAGGTTGGAGGTTTGAATCTGGGGAGCAGGGTGAGCTTCTGTCTGTCAACTCCAGCTTCCCATGAGGGAACATGAGAGAAGCCTCCCACAAGGATGGTAAAACATCAAAATATTTGGGCGTTCCCTGGGCAACGTCCTTGCAGATGGCCGATTCTCTCACACTAGAAGTGACTTGCAGTTTCTCAAGTCACTCCTGACACAAAAATGTAGCATTGGGTTGTTGTAGGTTTTTTCAGGCTAAATGGCCATGTTTTAGAGGCATTCTCTCCTGACGTTTCACCTGCATCTATGGCAAGCATCCTCAGAGGTTATGACCCCTGAGGATACTTGCCATAGATGCAGGCAAAAGATCAGGAGAGAATGCCTCTAAAACATGGCCACATAGCCTGAAAAAAACCTACAACAACCAAGTGATTCCATCCATGAAAGCCTTCAACAATACAAAAGTAGCATTGTTCAGGTCTCACATTTTATTCCCAACAATTTGAAATTATTACTCCAAAACACTCATTCATAATTATTTTTCAGGATCTGCTCATTTATCTTTATTCATGAGTGGCTTGTAAAATGTTATTAATATATTAGAGTCAATGTTACTTTGATAATGTATTTTCTCAGGGGGGAAACATCAAAAATATACCCCAGACCCTTTTCTCATTGGTTTTTAGAAAGGTAATAAATAATATAGTTACCTTTAATCTGTTGTTTCAAAGCTCTGATCTTGTCTATGGTGGACCATTTTAGCATAGTCTACTGGGGATGTGTTGTTGCTGTTGTTATTCCCTGTACACATTCCTTTACAAAAATTGAACAAGAAAAAACAGATCCCTGCCCTCGGGTGTATAATATAAATCATGATCCATCAGAAAACAGCAATGGGAGAGAGGATCAAATCTGGCGGAAACTGCCTCTTCTTCTTACACCCATGACCAGGGCAGTGGCAGTTGGGATGTAAAGAAGGCCTTTCATCTGTTTCAGTATCATTCTTGTTGAATTTTGTAGTTTCTTTTTAGCATTTAAGATTTTTAGCATTTAAAAAATAGCCTCTGATTTTGATTTCTGGTCATTTTTGAAATCTTGTACATTGTTTGTGATGATCCCCTCCTCCAAAACATATTAAAGGCATCAGAATTCTGAGTTAAGGGTCATGTTTTGTGGCCATTCTCATGGGTTTTAGAATGGTTTTTACCATGTGAAAATAAAAATCTGACAAGACTTGTTTCTATCTCTGTTCAGGGCAACCTTTGTAGGAACTTTTTTCTGTGGAGGAGGAGGGAGAGATTAAGTGCTTTGGGTGGTGTTTTTGATGGGAAATGTATTGATTTTACAGATGTGTAGGTCTCAAAGGAACTGAGGTTCTGAAGCAATCCGCTCAGTCTTGGGAGACAATATGGAATACATGGCTGTACTCCAAGTTCTCCTCAATTCTTTTCCACTATTTGAATACCCAAGCCTTTATACTTCTTCAGCAAAAGAACAGAAACTCTTTGGTAAAGAAAATCTAGGAAGCAATTGCATAAGTTGTTGCACAAAATTGTCCATTTGCCCCGGTATTGTGTACTCTAGCAGTCAGTGACTTAACAGGAAAGAAAAAATTCCTTGGTGTTACTGACTCCTGTAAGCTCAGCCAGCAACAATGTTTTGGCTCTGCCCAGTTGATATGCAATAGCCCAGTCACATGTGTAAGTTAGACTTGACATGTTATCCAGCAATGCATACATGAGCATAGATGAGGGAACACTTAGGAACTCCACTTTAACCCAACCAAACATCCCTAGTTGCCTGAAGACTTTGCATATGTGGGGCTGGATCTGAAAAACACTTTGCCCCCACTGAGATCTGCATGAAAGATTTGCAGTTGAATGAAGCTCTCTTGGTTTCAATGGGAATGAGATGAAACAATAGTCTTCATCAGACTGATTTGATTGGATCACCCCTGTTAAACCCTTGTGCTGCCAGGACTGCTGACTGAAAGGTTGGCAGTTTGAATCTGGGAAGTGGGGTGAGCTACCATCTGTCAGCTCCAGCTTCTCATGCGGGGACATGAGAGAAGCCTCCCACAGGATGGTAAAATATCTGGGTGTCCCCTGGGCACCGTCCATGCAGACAGCCAATTCTCTTACACAAGAAGTGACTTGCAGTTTCTCAAGTCGCTCCTGACACACATACACACAAAAAGCATCCCAGTATTAATAGGGCTTCTCTGTTTGCAGGGATCGGTTGACACCAAATTTTCTATGTATCACTCATATCCACATTCCTGCCTCTGCCTTTGTTACCAATTGTTTGTAGTTAGGTCCAGGATAATCTAGTGGTAAACACAGGATTTTACTGACACAACTGATGACTCCATGTATAGTGTTGGTGGTAGGGTCAGTCTGCTCATGGAATGAAGACTAAAGTGTAGAGGTGCTTGACTTCATCTCAGAACAGATTCAGCACCTTGGAGAACTCCCTAAAAACTTAGAGCAGATTCATTGTCCTATTAAGGTCAGTGACATCAGCTACCTCTGTCTTTGTCAATTGTAGCAGCAAGCTACCAACTCATTCTGACCTTGAGTCATCACTAGAGGGAGACAGAGACCAAGTCCAAATTTCTGAAGGGTTGTTCTTCTTGCAGACACCTCCCGGAGACCCAAAGAGCAAGAAAAGTCTGGGTTCGGCTACTGCTTTGTAACAAGGAGTGAGATGGAGGCAGATATCAAAGCAGGCCGCTATCTGGAACATGGTGAATATGAGGGAAACCTCTATGGGACCAAGATTGACTCCATCCATGAAGTTGTTGAGTCGGGCAAGATGTGCATTTTGGATGTCAACCCACAGGTACATAATTGTTCTTTCTCCTGATACAGAGGGCCATGCATCTTCTGTTATGTCCTCCAAGGGACTGTGTGGGCATACTCTCCACAGTCCTTCTTTTCCCCCAGGACCTATCAAAAATGGCTTTTTTAACAACAGGAATTTACTTTTCTTGTTTACTTCCTCTTTATTTATTTATTTTATCCTTGAGAACTGCAAAATAGTTTTGGGGGCCGCATGGAGGCCTGGGATCACCCTTTTCCCATTCCTGCATTGGAAGGAAAGTTATGGGAGAGTTTCATTCATTATCATGCATGTGCAATTCCTGGTTGTGATGTTAGAATCTGAATAGCATTATTTCACTCATTACTCTGAAATGGAACAGTGCTTGAGATATCTATATCTATCTATCTATCTATCTATCTATCTATCTATCTATTTGAACAAAAAGAACAAAGGCAGCAACCCCCTCTCTGAATGATTTGTTTTACATCTCAAAAGTAGTCCAAGGTTAAAACAGCAAATATTTGTTGAGTCTTTCAGCAGCATGATGGTATACTACACAGTGTGGCATAACTGTGTCAGCTAATGGCTTCTGTATCAAAGGAGCATTGAATTTACGTTGGTTCAAGATTTAAAGGAGCTGTGCAGGATTCTCAATTCAGTTCTCTTATCCCATAGTTTCAGCATCTTGGGGCACATTCTGGTGCCAGGAGGTCTACACAGCAGAATGTGATTTTCTCTTATCTAGAAATCTGAAATCCAAAACCCAAAGCCTTTTGCCATTGCCCTTGTCCACCTTGGAGTAGTGGTTGTGCTAAGTCATCTCTCAGACACCCAATCTCTCTCTTTTTTGCTACCAGCTTACCTTTTGCACCTTTGAGATGGTAGCTGCAGCACTCCTCATTGTTTGACTGGGGATGAATGACCAAAAGCACCATGACTGCCTCCTCAAAGGCAGAAACAAGCAGCTGGTAGTAAAAATAGAGATGTTAAACATCTGTGAAATGACAGGAGTTGTGGATCCATGCAGAGCATTATGCTTGTGCTACTATCATTTTACAGATCCTCAGGTTCTCTCTTATCCACAACACAAGTAGCAAACTAACAAGATGCAATGATGTTTTTTAAAAATATTGTATTCAAAAATGCTTCTGGCCCCAAGCATTTTGGACAAGGGATCTTCAACTTGTATGTTAATGCTTGTTTCAAAACCCCAATCTTTCTGGGCATTTTTCCCAGTATTCTGTTGTCTTTGGACAGTTACTGGTCATGCAAGACCTATGTTGGGCCTCTACATGTGGTTCCTGGATTGCATGGTTTCCATCTCTGCCTAATATCTCTTTAACTACATAGCACCTACTACCTAACTGAAGATATGAGTATATAGCAGTGATGGCATTCAGGATTTCTCTGTCTTTCTCTTGAATTATGCACAGGCGGTGAAGGTTTTGAGGACAGCCGAGTTTGTTCCTTACGTGGTATTCATTGAAGCACCAGATTTCGAGACTTTGAAAGCCATGAACAAGGCTGCTCTGGAGAGTGGTGTGGCTACAAAGCAACTCACAGTGAGTTCTCTATGTGGACAACAAAGCTTTGGGAAAGAGTGGGAGGAAAAAAAGCACAGTTAAGCCAAATGAAAATCTTTTGAAAGATGAGTAAAACACAGAAAAAAATGCCCCAGTGAGTAAGACACAATACTCCTTCACCCAGAAATAGTTTATTTATTGCAAATATTTTGTCTGCTCCCAATGCCAGTGTAAAAGTTTTTATTAAAGTCCTCTTGTTTGATTTTTTTCAGGACTTCTGTCTGTCTGTTTTGTGCACAATACTTTTGCTCTGCAAAATGTATTTTCTTCAAAATACTGCATTTTGTATATTTGTATACTGCATTTGTAAAAAAAACACCTACTTCTGCCTCTAATAAAAAACACACTCGATCTAACCATGTAGTGAACACTATGATTTCACTTTAATTGCCATGGTCACATTGTAGGAGCTTGTAGTTTGTGGAGGCACTACAGCTCTCTACCTGAGAGTTCTACATTCTCCTCCTTAACCAACAAACCCAAGGATGCTATAGGATGTTGCCATGGCAGTTAAAGTGCAATCATAGTGCTATAAATGTGTTGTGTGAATAGGACCCTGGTCTTGAGTCTTTATTCAGAAGCATACAATCTGGCTACAGTAGAAGGATTGTTTCTGTTTTGTTTTGTTTTTTTTATGTGTGCCTCAATGTGTCAAAAGGCCCTTTCACATAGAAAAAGAACAAATTTACAGGTGTTAGGAAAGACATAGAGGAAGGACTAGGTTTACTAAAACAGGAATAAAAGCCCCTTTCACACAGAATAAAAGCAAATTTACAGGTGTTAGGAAAGACAGTTAGGAAGGACTAGGCTTCTAGAACAGGGGTAAATGGTTTTATCTTTAGGGAGACACAGGTAGCCGAGGTGGCTCTGTGGTTTGTTAAAGAGTTGGAGTATATATTGGGTGACCTGAGACAGAGTTAAACCTGCCATAACTATCCCTATAATTAATTCTTGCTAAGTTTGTATGTGGGAAATATGGAGCTGAATCTGTGTTTTAAGTGACTTACAACTTACTCTGTTTATCCCTCACATGTGAACCAGGATGCTGACTTGAAGCGGACTGTCGATGAGAGCTGCCGAATCCAACGAGGCTACGGGCATTACTTTGACCTCTGCCTAATCAATGATAACATGGAGCGGACATTCCAGCAACTGCAGGAGGCCTTGGAGAAGCTGCGTGGTGAACCACAGTGGGTTCCTGTTAGCTGGGTTTACTAGAGAGGCACGGTCCCTCTTTTACCTGCAGCTAAAGAGTCTTGGCATTCCTGTCATCCCAACTTGGCCAAGGAATCCATATTTCTTTCCTGCTCCTCCTGGCAAGTCTCCTACTTGTCAACCACCCCTTCTTGCCACTAAACCCACCTAGGTAGCCCAGGATATACAGGTGGAAATACAGGTGGAACTAAGCTGTCTGTCTCCAATTCTAAAGGGAAGGTGCTTCCTCTCTCCATTCCAAGACACCTCCAGACAACCAAGAACTCTTTTTCTACTCCCACAGATGGGTGGATGACCTCTCTCCTAATTCTCTTCCCAGTCATTGACAATAAGAAGCCCTTTGATGAAGAATTAAGTTTAGCGAATACAGTGTTTATGAGGCAGGGCTCAGCGGGGTTACCAAATACCCATAATGCCTTGCTATGTCTGGTCTTCCTGAGCATCTCCGTCCTTGACTCCTCTACTGTCAAAAGGAGCAGGAAGACAGCATTTCCACTGATCACAGCTAACTCACTGCCAAAAGCACTGCTTTGTAAATGGACCATAGTGTTGTTATTGCCAAAAGAACTGCCAGAGGGGGAGGTTCTTCCCACAGGGAACGCTGGAGAAAGTGGAGGGATGGAGGGTGAAAACATACCTTGCCTTCCTTCAAATTTGGTTGTTGCAATAGCATTGCATGATTTTGTGGGATATTAAAGGGAAACCATGGACACTTCCATGAAAGGTTTGTGAGCGGGGAAAATTCAACTGAATGACCTTGTGGTAGGAACTATGGTCTGGAACCTACGGCCTTGGGTTCAGTCTTTGATAACTTCACACAAACATAAGCACACACACACACACTTATACACATACATGCATACACATACACACATACTGATGGCCTCAGGTGTGCTCTATAAAATGGGGCTAAATACTAAGTATTATTAGTAGTAATGTTTACATCTATGGGAATGTTTGCTAAGTTGAGATAATTCATTGAAAGGCATTGCTTTGGGGTGGGACCTTGGTCCAAAGTATATCCAGTGGCAGATCCTGATTATCAGCAACATGCTACCTGGATTCCCTTAACCTCCCCAAAGCCTCTGCCTTCCTAGTTCATGCAGAGAATTATTGCCAGTCATAGAAGACAACAAACTAAATTTAGTCAAAGACTTAATCCCTAGTGTCTCCTGTATTTCAACAGGAATGTTCTTCCGCAACCTATCTTTTCCCCAAAAGCTAACCCATTACTGAGTAAACTCCATAGCTGACAGTGAAAGCAGTAAAAAATACTGCAGATTTCAGATCCCAATCCTTGCTGTTGGTCATCTCCACTTACGCGAACCCCAGACTCCCCTGATTTCCAGTCAGCCCAATGTTTTCTTGTTGGGCCAATACTGCTCACAATCCAGGTTTGATGAGGGCCAGGTATCCAGACCTTACATTCCTTTTTATCTTTGCTTTCACCACAAGACTACCTGCAATGTTTCTCGATTTCACTGGGATTCTTCCTCATGCCAGAACCAGCAATGACTACCTCACACTCTATGGCAGCTGTTAATATAGTGGCACAAGCCACTGCAGAGAGAGCGCAGAACTTTTGGGCTTAGCTTTCACTGCCAGATGAACACACACAAAGCTGTTTTCCAGGGTTCTCTCTCTCTCTCCGTCTCAAAGACACACATATCTATTTCTTGGTTCTAAAAGTCACACCTGCACACTATTCCTGACATGCTTCCCAGAAATGTGCCAGCTCTGTTGTGTTTTTCCCCACACTCCTTTTATGAAATACTATACTTTCCTTATGACGCAGAACACAGCATGTAGCTGGATCATTTGCTTCATGCTCATCTCAGTATTTGTTCACTGTCCACTCTTCCTCCGGGTTTCTGTTTTTTTAAAATTTCTGTAAAGGTTTCTATAGCAATAACTCCACCTGCTGATCATCTAGTAAAGAAGTGTATAGGGATCCTTCAGTGCCATTTAAGTAAAACACTGAGAGTCCTGTAGCCACAGAAACCACTCACTTGTACCTTGGGGGAAATGGTTTCTTTAGGGATTTGCTCATTCCTCCAGCAAATTCCACTGGAAGCTACCATACAGTTGCATGGACTAATGTTTAGGACTTGGTTATATTCTCCAATGCAACGTTAGGTTATGCTAGGACCTTAAATGACATAATGGTGTTAGTCACATCTGTAGTTTTATGTAACCGTAGTCCAGCTAGGAACATGTCTTCCCACAAATAAGGAGTTCTTTCTATACTAAAATGCACATGGTGTTTCACAAAACATGGAGTGAGAAGTAAGGAGGAGGGATAATATCCCATCTTTTCTTTGTGCAACTACCTAGCATAGAAACTAAGCAGGCTTCCAACAAAAGAGTGAAATTCTTTGACAGCCCATAGCAGGCTAATGCTTTATTTTTTTTATGTATTTAAAACTAGTATATTTTGTGAGCTGTGAATGGTTGCTGCTGGGGAAAGGTATTTTCAAAAGATAGTTCTTGTTTTCTTGGTCTAAAGTATAGAGACAAGGCTACTGCGTATTTCCATGTTGCCAATCAGACCTTTTGATTGTTGTATACATAGGGTCCCCAAATTATTATGTCTCTGCCATGAAGTGAGCTGCACCTCCACAATGGTCAGTTTACTCGAGGAATTGCAAGGATTTAGCTTATTTTAAAAGGAAGGGACCCCATTTTTCATCCTCCCAGAAAAACCGGAAGGATTAGGAGAAATGCAATCCTAATTTTTTGCAATGTCAACTAGGCTAGGCCAACAATTGGTCAGAACAAGTCAGCCGCCTTAGCAGGGGCATTTGGTTGCTTCAGTGTCAATGTAACTCTGTCTTAGAAATAGATGCAACAGACTAGATAGTTCCTTCAAAGTTAAGAATAAATGCAATCCTAATTTTTTGCAATGTCAACTAGGCTAGGCCAACAATTGGTCAGAGCAAGTCAGCCGCCTTAGCAGGGGCATTTGGTTGCTTCAGTCTGTTGCATCTATTTCTAAGACAGAGTTATAAACTTGGGAGTGCTCCATGAAAAATGATGCTCTGCCAGAGAAATATTAAGGTCAGTCCTGTGACCCACAGGTTGAGAACTACTAGCCTAGAGCCTCCTCCATCCTATAATGTGTTTTGGTTAAAAAGTGTGGTGTAATGGTTTGAGCACTGGACTACAACTCTGGAGACCAGGGTTCAGTTCCTTATTTGGCCATGAAACCCACTGGATGGCCTTGGTGATTTGTACACTCTCAACCTCAGAAAACCCCATGATAGATTTGCCACAAGTCAGAAATGACTTAAAGGCACAAAACAACAAATGTTGATACAGTGACTCTGAAGACGACTTGCTTTGCATGCCAAACTCTTTTTGGCGTCAACTTATATTGACATTCATATTTTTGATTTAGATTGACTTTTGTGGAAACTAATCTCTGGAACATGAAATAATGTGGATTTGTTTTTCACCAATTTACCAATCCCATACACACATCTCCATCACCACCATACAGTTCCTCTCCTGTTATGCTAGACTTCCAATTCCATTCCATGTACTTTTTCTATCCCACAAAATTTGCCTGTGCATGTATTTTACCTTTGTAAAGTTAGCTATAGTAGAAGGAAGATTTATTTACTTTTCTTTAAAAATATAAAATGATGGTGTATATTTAAGAAGAGGGTGAATCTATATACATTTTGAGCGTGCAAAGGGTTAATAATAAGAATTTTGTTTATTGTAGCATCCCAGCTAGAAATGTCAAATAGCGCAGAGCCAGATGTTGTAGCAAACTGATATTAAAAACCAGTAGTGTTTTTTTAAGGGTTAGTAATTTTAAAATACTTGTGCTGTGGTGTATATAGGTTGACGGGGAAGGGGAGACATCTCAGTTTTCTTCTGGTACTTCTACTGTTTACTGGTCATCTTCAGGCATAAGGACACACATGCAACTAAGTCAGAATTCAGTTTAGATTTGACTGAAGGAGTTCATCATGTAACACGAATCTCTGGGGCTACTATAAAGAGTGAGAAGAATGCTTTTGGTTTAAGAAGATAGCAGGCCCCCACACATTTCCTCTTGTTCCTGGTCATTTTCCTCCATGGGAAACAACAATGTGTCCTGCAACCTGTTCAATGTCCATCTGATGTGGTGAAGTAACTGCTTGACCACTACTGTTGTTCTGGGACTTAGTTGCCAGTCCCGTCACCTTTTTTATATGGATGGGCTGACACCCAGAATGGCCTTGTGTCCTACTTCACAAGGACAGCCCTCAGTTGAAACTATCTGTTTGGAGAAATTACAGTCGCGATCCAATTGAAAGATCCTTGAAGCTGCCTGTCTGCACATGGGCAGAAGACAAAGTAGGCACTATGGCTCTTTTCAGCTGTAGTGAGATCTATTTATGTTTTAAGATAGTGATTATTTCTCAGTTGTATCTCTTATCAATCACTTGTGGAACTTGATGAAAATTACCCCGGGGGAATTACTTCCAAATAGACATGAGTAGGATGTGTTTGTTACATTACTCACATGTATTTTTACCATTACCACCAAGGATTTGTTCTTATTGCTCTTTTGGCTCATATTTACATTTCAGCTGCTGTCTACTGTTGTAAATTCTGTTGCAGTTTTGTCCAAGCCACCCCTTATATACCAAAATGATTGTTCTTTTCCATTTCTGGGTATGTGTTCTGCAGCTCTGTTTCCCTTTTCCTTTCCCCATAAGTCCAGCCCAACTATTAGGCAAGAAAAGATATCTGTGTTAGGTAGCAGATCATGGCCAACGAGTAAGAAAAGGTGTTAGGCGGTGTTCACAATACTCAACTACAGCACTAGGATTGCCCCCCCCCCCAAGGGTTGAGAAGGGTGGGATACAAATATCTGAAATAAATAATAAATACATAGGATTCAACAGGGATTTACAGATTAGGGTGTAGTATTTAAAATTCTCAACCAGTGAGCTCCAGTGCCTCACCAAACTACAGGATGTCCCAAAAAACCAACAACATATACACACTTTAAAAGCTGATAGCTCAACTGATGTTTATTTTTTCCAGGTTACAGCAACCCATTGGAATTAATAATAGAAGTCAGAATAAGCTTTGAAAGGAAATTTAAAACATAGTTGAAGTGCAAAGACAATTTAGGAGGAAGTTTCAAAGAGATCCACCGCCATGACTTACCAT